AAAGGAATTTGCGAAACCGATGCCAAGCAGTAGCAGTAGTTGACTTACTTCAAAGTATTCAAGTATTCAAAATATTAACGTATGTTTATGCGTGGTAAGAACATTGACAATAGTATTAATTGGTCAGCTAACAGTAGATCATCTAAGGGATTTAAGGGTTTTCAGCCACTACTTTTTTTTCTGGTATTGAGCTGAACATAAGTAAAGTAGAGCGCAAAGTTGCGTTACTTTCAAGATTCGAACCACAAAAAATCTTTTCTAAACCATGATCAAGCTGACAAATTGATTTCCATCACACTCTAGTGCAAATTGACTTTCAGAATTCTTTGAAATCGAAATGTCTTCGAATCGGTGGTTCAGATAGCGAGAATAGAGATGGAGAAGGCTGAAACACGCAAAAATTGGAAAGAATTCGGTAAAAAACATATTTAATCGTTCCGTAATCAGTCAGTTGCATAGGACGCGTAAACCGTTGAAAATATTTTCGCTGATAACTCATCGTCACTTGGCAATCTTGGCATTCTTTGCTGGTCGATATGTTTATACTTGTAATTTTTCCTGTGGGTGCAGACAGGTAGAAACCTCCTCCCAATCGTCGTAAATAAGCTGGGCAGTGTTTAATGTTAATTTCCGAAAGCAATGAGGTCAAGAAAACCGAATCATAACGGACATATATTTTATGAATTATTTATCGGGTTTCGCCGTATGGGTTGACATTTTCTAGTGTTTGCTAGATGATAACTGAAGAGAACGAAATGCGTGTAGGACAACATGAAATGTTGAACAAATACTATGCTGGGTGTCGATTCTTGCACGTTAGTTCACTGTGCACTTCACATTTGAATATGTATTACTCAACAACAACGCACATTCCTATGTAACATTGCATCCGGGGCTGTCTGTTGATATTGACCAGCAAATATTGAGATTATATGGGCTTTAAAAATTGGCGTTCTGCCAACCTTTCGATCAGCATGGGGTCCGAAGGGTCCAGATTGGGACCTAAACTAAGTGCGACAAAAGTCAAAATATTTTTTCAATGCCTTTTATCTGCCTTTTATCAGTGGTGGAACCTGGAGTTTTTTCATTTTCTTGTGAAAAATTTGCATTTCCGTGCGGAAACATCGTTCTTTATCGCTTTCAATTGCAAAGCAACCGTAGCTCCTTTTACTTGGAAAGCTGGAATGAAAATCTTAATATGCTTAAGAATTGCAATATTTTTTCTGAGTCTTAAAGCCTTTCCCCGCTATATATGTGTTTTTATATAACCTGTTAGAATTTTCAAGTCACTGTTGCTTAACGTACTTGTAGTTGTTTATTTGTGTTTTTTTGTGTAGGGCTAATAATTAATTATAAAATACTTTCACATTGGTTATTTTCGCAAACCCTATATATGTACTGTTTTTTGGTTCATATTGGAGTGTCCACAAAGCATTTTTTACTTTTCAATTTTCTTGCATTATTTTCCTTTCAGTTATGAATTGGTAATTTTAATTTGCGTGCTTTATTTTATCTAAACTTAAACATCTGGGCATTGATGTCTTTCATCATCAAAAACAGGAGCCATAATTTCTTCAATGCCTCACGTTTTCATTTTCTTCATTCTTATGTCTTGACGTCAATTCACCGCATACTTGTAGGTATACCTGGAGACGAGGGCTTCATTTAATCTTTAATATCTTCAGTTGTGTAATAAATTGCTCGTGCCTGTTCTAATTCTGATTTATTGAGTCAATTGTGCTTAACATAATCGACTCTTCTGTTCCTTTTATATTTTGAGCAAGAAACTGATCCAAAAACCTCTTACTTTGTAAATTATTTCCATTTGGAATGTCCATAACTGCGAAAATTGTAGAAAATATCGTGACTAACCAATGTATCCCTCTGTCGAAAAAATGCAGCTGGAATATTATCAATTGAGTGCTAGAGTAGAGAAAACACGTTTGAATCTGTGAACAACTTCCAGATAAAATCAGATTAAATACGTAGAAAAAGAAACGAAAATTAAATTGAGTATAATAACAGTAATAAACATAAACATAAAAATACATAAAACAATAAAACAAATTGCAAATTAGTAATTGATTTAAAATACATATTCAAGACCGGTTTTAATAAAATAAGCGCCGCAAGAAAAACCTTCTTTTTGCGGCAATTGCAAAAAAACTCAAATCTCATATAAAGAAATTTTTTATTGAAAAAAATACTCTCAAAAGTAAAACGCCAAACTTGTAGGTTTAACTTCAAAGGTTGAATATTCGGAACCAACTTATCGGATTTACCCTTTGATCTACTTCTATAAGATGAATTCAATGTCTGTTTGACTTCCCATGATCAACATTTGTTAAACCCCAAGTTCTCAAGCATTTTTCATGTGGGCCTTTAACATCTTTGTAACAATTACAAGTGTTGCAATTGTAAAACATTTGCTGTTTCTATTGGGTTTATAATTTTATTGTTAGACACAATGAATATTTAGTAAAGTATTGGTGATCGTGTCGTTTGAGTCCCTCCGAATTTTCAGATTTTCTTTGTGTGCCTTGAAGCACTTTCAGCGAAAAAAAATCCTGTATGGTATTAAGCCAAAAAAACCGTTACAGACTTTTGAAATTCGCACTTATTTTTACTTACTTATTTTATACCCACTTATTTATGCACGAAAATGAGATTGTCCGGTGCTATTTGCTGCTAAATAGTGTTTCAGGTATCAACAACTCACAACTCCACATGCAAAATTGTCGCTTTCCCAAAAGTTTTAGCCTCTTTTCTAACATCGCCAATTGATTGAGGTTAACTAGCGCGTTCATAGTCAGATGCCGGATTATTTCTCTCTTTCGGGAATTCAGCATCATGCAGTGTTGCCACGTATTTTTGCGTTATTTTGAGTTAGTTTGTTTGTGTTTGCATGGTTGAAGTGATGTTTTAATGAAATCAAAAATTATGTAAAAAGTAATGGCCTGAAAATACCTAAATAATCTAAACCTACTCAAATTGAATGAAACTACATGCTAGGTATCCAAGCAAACAATTTTCTTTAACTTAAAACGTTTGGGGCAGTCGGGCAAGATGGTGATTTTTCTCAAACCTTGTGAGTGTTTTTTTGGCTTAATTCTTACCATCCAGGACCATCAATTTTCGCTAAAACTGCTTACGGTGCGATTCTGTAATTCGTTTGCATCGCTGTAACTTTTACATCCTGTATATTTAAAATCCACTGTAAACTTGGAGTTACAGCTGTAGTAAAACCGGCATTCTGTAACGTCCTACGAGCTTACAGCGGAATATTTCAGACTGTATCTAACTACAGTATGATAAAATGTAAGTTGACATAACCAACATTTTGTGTGTTGAAACATTATTTATGTCGACGAACATGACAGTTGACATTTCGAAGTACGTTCCACTGTTAACGAATCCTGTTGCATTTACCGTTTATCCTTATCTATTTTATTGTCACTCTGTATAATTCCATGGTTACCGAAGTTTTTCATGATTGCGACGCAGGTATTGCCGTAATGTTAATTGGACCGATTACCTTGAAGCCGAAACATTGTTGCCGTCTTTTTGGTATAGTTTTTTGCAAATTTCTCAGTATTTAATAACAATTAATTTTTTAAACTATTTTTTCCGTACTTCTAAAGCACCGCCAGACAACACCTTCAGAGGAATGACACCAATTTTGAATCACCCTGTATATTGGACTAATATAAATTAATAATCTAATAAATAAAAATTGGTGGAAGACGTGAGTAAATAATGATACCAATAAATTCTACACAAAGGCGACACTACAGGCAAAAGTCTCAGATTCGGTCTATTATCTATTATGCAATCCTGTTGGAGCGGCATATTGAGATTTGGCTCATACAGCCAACAAACCCACAGCTTTTTAAAAAGACCCATGCCGTATGAAATGAAATGTTGGGAGAACTCGAAGGTACATAGGAATGCCTGTACATACCCTTGCCTGTGAGGTTTGGGGCTTAATACTATTTACATTTAACATTCCTAGCAATTTCTTGATAATATCAACGTCCTAATAAATTGATCATCAGGTAATTCAAATAGATTTTGCTGATACCGAAGCCCTTTCCCCTCTAGACGCATTTAATTACTAGAAGACAAGAAGACACCGAAAGCACTCAGGAAGACCAAATAATATGTAAATGCAATCATCCGGAAATAAATCAAGTATAAAATTCACTAAAGCCATCATTTTCATTACGCAAAAGTGTCTTCTGAACGACTATGTTCAAAATAAACAAATTCATAGCCTCTAACTATTACATATTAATATAATTAGATAATTTATATTAATAGATAGTAGACTCGATACAGCAATACAGAATTGCATTTTTGCAATACAGAGTTACGTTTCTCGAGATCAAGTAGTTACATCCTTTGCAGCGCTGTAAATGTCATAGAGAATCGCACCATTAATTTAAAGCGTTCTTTAAAGTAAAACAAGATAAAACTAACAATTCGGAGGGACTCCAATGACACGATCACCAAGATATTTATTAAAACTTAATGTTTTTATTATGTTTTAAATTTTTGTTGACTTCCGTCAATAAATAGTTATTCCAGTTCAACTCCGCGCTGATTCAATTATTGGGAGTGATTAAATCATAATAGTTTCTGACAAAAAAATTAATAGTCTGACTGTTTTTTCTCCAGGCTCAGGCTGAGACCATGACTTTGTGTTTTAAAGTGTCCCAAATCGGACATTGCACACTTTTTCCACTGAAACTGTCTACTTTCAAGTGTACCCTAATTTAAATGGTCCAAACGACACGATTATCATGTGCTTGGGCTTGAGATAAAGCGCCCCTGGAAAAAGCGCTAACTCCCGAGTTGAGGCACACCACTGGACCCTTTTAACCTCCCCCCGTACGCTCTAAAAAGCTCCTTTCGCTCGATTCCACAGTCGCTGATTCTGTTGCTGGTGGACGGAGTCGGCGCAGTCGAACGCAACGAACAGAGACCCGAATCACTCTTAAAACACGCTTTTCCGATCAGTTCGAAGCGAGTGTTTTTGTTGCATAGGCGTTCGTTGCAGCGTGTTTCTGTTTTTTCGAAATATAAACAATTTTCGGAAATAATTCAATCAGTACAGTAGCCGGCCTGCGTGTGTGCGCGTAAATATTTACAATAGTGAATTTATCGACTGTGGAATGAATGAATTATAGAGGAGAGTGTTTCATGTGCCAATTTTAACCAGGATTTACAGTGGTCTGCTTTATTTTTAAACTTCTAAGGTAAGAATAGTCGGGCTTGAATGTAAATATCCGAGAACTCAAATGTATTGTTGCTTGGCGTTGTTTGTCATTCTGTTTGGAATTGCTGCATTTTTGAGTGTGAAATAGTCAAAATCTAGATGCCCAGGAGACGCGCTACTCCTGCAGGAATGCATAGAATTGCAGTATCAACTTGAAAGCGTTCGAGTAGAACTCCAAACAGTTCACGACTACTTGTGGCCCCTTTAAGGGCCAATTAATGGATGGCCTGTCTGTTTGATCCTGATTAATTGCCCCTGGAAAGTTGCGGGAGGGTCCATGGATCTGGTTTCGCTACCAAAATCCCACCCGAAGCAACTGGAAATTTAAGTCATTTGCAACTTCATCAGTGATTCCACTTTTTACTCAACACTTCACTCACTCAACAATTGTTAAAAGTCATCTGCTAAAGCCCAGAATTTGGATGCGAAAGTCTCCAAAATGATTCATTAACTTAGCCGGCAGCAACTCTGAACATTTTCTAGGTGTTTTTTGTTCTTGGATGAATTGCTTGAGATTGTTCAAGTGAAGAAGGAAATGGGCTTCTGAATAGTGACCACTTTTGTATAAAAATAAAAAACATAATAACAAGCCTAAATTATAAACCAACTTTCTTTAAACGCTATGTGGATGATTGCTTAATGTGTAAAGATAAAATTCAATATACCCTAGATAAATTCAACAATTTTCACGACACTATAAAATTTACAAAAGAAAAGGATACAAATCAATCAATACATTTTTTAGACATAACAGCAAATTATGATAATTCAGGTGAAATATAAACAAATTGGTGTACAAAATAAGTTTGGTCAGGAAGATATTTAAACTGTAATTCATATGCCCTCCAAAAATATAAAAAAAAGCGTAATAACTGCACTTACAGATAGAGCTATAAAATTATCACACCCAAATTACAGGCAGAAAAATTTAAAAAACAATCAGAAAAATATTACTTCATATTAACTACCCAAAAAAAATATCTGAACCAATAATAAAGCAAAGAATTAACAAGATTTACAACTCAACTAATTATAACAATAATGAGAAACAAAGAAACAATGCATATAAATCACTACCAAATATTCCAGAAATCAATAAAAAAAATTCAAAAATATTAAAGCCACACAACATTATAATTGCGGAAAAAACAAAAAAGATCTTATCAACTGAATGTTTCCCAAAACTAAAACCTAAAAGTGACAAAATGGATATGCCAAATGCTGTATTGTATATAGAATGAACTTTTTAATGTGATAATACATATACAGGACAAACAAATCAATATTTAAAAAAGAGAATGTACGAACATAGATTAGTATATTAATTTTTCATGCTTTGACTGCTTTCATTCTGTGCTTGCGTAATTCATCAGCTCCTCCAAGTTGTTTTATTAGATTTTATCAAAAAAGTTAATTAATGCAGGATTGGCGAGGCAGAAACGACAATTTTGTGCTACATTTCTAAAAGTACAGTCGTCAATTTCCAAGGGCTATTAAACATTGAAAAACTGTGCTTAATGCAGTTTATTTTATCAATTCAGGTTTTAGTTTATCTCCGCAGTTCTAAAATCTGAAATAAAAAATCGAAAAAGTTGCAAGGATTTGAAATCAAGCACTTTTTCTGTATTTTCAATTGCCTAATCACAATAGTATAAAATATGACGCGAAATCCAGGTTACTCTGTATTTTGAGCCTCTTAAAATTATTTAATTAAGTACTCATTTCTTCTGCGCTCAGAGAGTAAAGACGCAAAATAATGTAAGAAATATTTCTGTTCTTCTTCAGATTATTTCTTCCAACGTGGCTCAATCTCATGTTGAAATTTATTGTAATTTTATTTAGGTATATTTTCAATTTAATTTAATTCTGTCGTCTGTTGTGTTGTACGAATCTAAGGAAACTCTGCTAGCAAAGCTAACATTGAACATTCATACAAATGAGGCAGGCATCCACTAAGGTTTTTAATCAGGATTTCTCAGGTTTGATCAAACCGACTGAAAATGGGCATTAGTTTTTGCCTTAAATTAATATGCTTCCGTTTGAGTAGAACAATTACTACTTCGCTTAAGATATTCGTAATAAAATATTTAAATAATTATATAAGCCCCAACAAGAATCTTACCCAAGAAATTTTGACCATTTTCATACTAAAATCGACAACATTCAAAATATTTTGATTTTCCTAAGGTTTGAAACAATGTTTTGGCTTTACCTACTTTTTTTCTCGGTTCTGCTGTTTTTCTTTCACTTTCTCGGCTAGCGGAAATTCTCGCTGGTTTTTCAATGGTCTGTATGATTTTTCCTTTTATTCAAGTTACTTTTGCTGTTAATGTGTAAATCCTAATTCTTGCTTTCATCGCCATCATATTTCTGTCTCCTTAGTGGACCTTCTATTTGTATTGTAAAAATTCTTTTTGAAAATCATTTGCCTACTGATTCGGACGAAATGTAATGAAAAATTGGCCAAAATGCTAGTCAATATCTATTACTGAGGTAAAATGAGAAAGTACGTTGACTGTTTGTTAAAAAAATGAAAAGTTTGTGAAAATTGTGGTCAAATCCCCATAGCGCTTCATATGAAATTATTAATAACTTTGCTAAAAATATTTACCTGATTTAATCCTTCCTGACTTTAGGCTTAAACCTTCCGACTTAAAAGAGGATTTTTCTAAGTAGATTCTTAACGATTTAGGTTGATGGGTATTTACAAAGAGCTCTTCAAAACTATTGATTTTTCAATCATTCGGAGTTCAAAAAATTTTTGACCGGACGTTTCAAGAGTACGCAAGGCGAATATCTTCAGATGTGTGTCTGTTTCTGCAAATAAGACGTCGGTTAAAGTCGCCTATAATTTATTTTCAAACGACGCGTTTCGGTTATTTTATATTACAATAATCATCAGGTATCAAAAACGTAAAACTACGTCACTGAATTTGCAACAACTGCCAAGCATCAATCACATGATTTAGGTCAACACAACACATTAAAATTATGTTAAAACCGACATTATAACTAAATAATAATAATACTAATAATAAATAAATTGTCAGGAAAGTCACACGGTTAAAGCAAACATTGGTAAAAACCCAACATGAACAAACAAACTATGAATTATTTTTACCTCAAAGTATTTGTTTACTTGCTAGATTTTTATCTCGATCAACTAAGGTCCACTGGAAGGATGCTGAATGAAAAATTCCCAGTTCGTTTCTTCGTTTCTTCACAGTGTGCAATGTTTGAAATCTTAACCATCCGGAAAAAATCCCGTCGAACTTTTTAAGAATATAGCCGAGACGATTGCCGATTTTTACCCTTGGGTGATAAACCTGGTCTTTTAAGCCGGGAGTTTATCCACAAATATTAAAAATTCACTAGTAAAAAGGCTGATGTTAATAGGTAGCAAAATGCCAGCTCATTTTGCTTCTTTGTAATGTCGGCAAGAGTTTTAGGGGAGTTTAGTCTATAATAGACTAATGAGCCGAATAGAAACACGGTTACAAGAGATCGAAGACTTCTAGAAATCGACCAAAAGCGTGCTTTCGAAAAGAGGAACTTTCTGAGCAAGCATGTCCTTAAAAGAGTTTAACGTTCGCGACCATTAGATCAGGATGTGCAGATTTTCGGGCTTTTAGGTAATCTGGAGGAAATTGTTTTCCACAAAGAAAGCTTGAGAAAGTCATCAGTTTCAATTAAGCCCTGGAATGGAGTTCCAAATTCCCTAACATGCAATGGAAAACTCAAAAACTTAAACAGCTACAATCGTTTTAAAAACAGGCCACCGAATTTCCACGATTTTTACCTATTTTTTCCCAATAGTTGCAGTCGAATAGCTCGCTTGGGAATTAAAAATGGAGCTCTAAGAGCTAAATTCTTGAAATGTTCGAAATTGTTGATCTTATTTTTTTCATTAATTTCAATTGCTACCTCCAGAAATTGTTTCAAAGTTTTGTGTTTTAATCATATTACTTCTTCATCAACTAATCAATTATCTCTATGTTGTTCAGAATGTGTTTTTCCCCTCTATTTCCTTTAAAAGTGTTTCTGTTGCTTTAAATATGTTAATTTTTTTCAGAAAGTCAATACACGATCGTTGTTTTTAAATAGCAAATAGTTCAACTGGTAAAGGAACCCACAAGACTGTGCAAATAGTGTTCTTTAGACAGGTTTGAAACGTGCTTTAAATTCAAGTCATACGCAATGAGCCGAGTATTCAAGTTATTTTTTTCTGCTCAAATAATGCGGGCATCCATAACAAACAACAATGTCTGTGGAGGCAAAAGTACGAGTCCTTTTCGGGTCGTTTTACATGCTCGACTTTGTCACAACCACATTTTACTAGTTTGGAAAATTGTTGGAAAACGCATCGGATTTTACCTGAAAAGTTGTCTAGTTGAAATGCAAAAACTCATTCATATTTCTGATCTAAGATATTTCCGAAAGGCGCTAAGTAGATGTGGTTCTTGTACACCTGTCTGGCTACCTTCAGCATTTATTTCGCGGATAAACTTGGTGTGATCGAGATGATTTTTTTTATCGAAAGGAGAAAGATTTTCCAGAGGCCGCTCAGCAACACTCGACTATTTATCATCGAATAAGTAAGTGTTGTTATCGGAACGGAACTTTTCATCCGCACACAATAACGTTCGATGGGATTAGCTACTGAAAGATTGAATCTAAAACTTGATCGATGACGGGTGACAATTCGATATAAATCCCAAAAACAATATTGATAACTCGATTGATAATATTGCGAAAATCTTATACAAATATACCGAGATACCGACAAGAGAGTTTGACGAAATTCAATTAGGTTTTGTCAGGGCGTTTTGTTGATTTCTTGCGAACGCCTAAACCAGGCCGGGATTAGATGCACGATTGGCCTCATACTGGATGATTGTTCAGTGAATCGGAATCAATCAAATTTGTTCGTATGATTCAACTTTCCCCGATGCAGACATTGTAATGCGGTCAATCACGGCA